ATTATTCATTTAGTGCCTTCAAAGAAAGGCACTTCATTTGTTTATATGTACATGATAACATATCCCACAAAATTTTAAATATTAAAGGCATTAAAAGTAATGAAGACAAGAATGATTAAACATCTTGTATCTTTGAATGACATGTAAGTCATGGACTTCATCATCCATAAAGTCATCATGTGGGCTTCCAACTAGAATAGGAAGAGAAATATGACTGAAGAGATATCCCTATTGCACAGAAAGGACATTGATCCCTTAGAGCAGGGGTAGGCAAACTAAAGCCTGTGGCTAATAGGGCTTAGCACCCATTTTTATAAATAAAGTTTTATTAGAACACCACACTCATTTGTTTATGTATTGTCTATGGCTGCTTTCATGCTACTGTGGCAGAGTTGAGTAGCTACAACAGAGATTGTCCAGCCTGCAAAGCCTAAAATACTTGCTATCTGGCCATTCAGAGAAAAATGTTGCCAAGCTGTGCACCCTTAGTGGGCTTCCTCAAAAGGAGGAAATAAGACATAGCAGACCTTGAGATGTAGGATGCTGAAAATCAGATGACTAGGACCATCACTATTCCCTTTAGTAGGAGAGAAAGACTTGGCGTATAATTCACAATTTGTCAGAGGATTCTGCTTTTCTACTCATAATAGTTTGGAGCACTGGATAAGGAGTACTGCGACATTTTTCCTCCTGAATATGGGTTGTGTGTACAAATGATACACAGTTGAAAGTTTATGTTTTAGGTCATAAAAAAGAATTAAATCTTACCATTGTGACAGCATAGATGGACTTAGTTGACAGCATAGATGGACTTAGTGGGTATTATATATACTAAGTGAAATAAGTCAGAGAAAGGCAACTAGGGTATGATTTCACTTATATGAATAATCTAAGGAACAAACTATACGAACAAACTGTATGAGAAAGAGACTCATAGACACAACAAACTGATGGTTGTCAGAGGGGCTGGGTGCAAAGGTGAAGGAATTAAGCATTATAAATTGGTGGCTACAGAACAGTCACAGGAATGTAAAGTACAGCACAGGGAATATAGTCAATCATACTGTAGTAACTATGTATGGTGCCAGGTGTGTACTAGAAATCACAGGGAATTACTTTTTAAAGTATATGACTGTCTACCTACTATGCTGTACACCTGAAACCAATATAAAATAATATTGAATGTCAACTGCAACTGAAAAATAAAATTAAAAGAAAGAAAATGTATAGTTTAATAAAAACTTATTCAGAGATATACAGTATACATAAGTAGATGTATAGTTATATAGTAGAGAAGGTCGGCACCAGAAACGCTTGGCTGAAATGGCTGAGCTGATGGCTGAGCTGATGACCATAATGGTGTGACATACCAAGTCAGAGCCACTGAGCAAGACAGACGTCTTAGAGGTAAGCCCTCCCCCTTATTAGAGGTTGGGACCAATGGTCCACATTAGTGACAACCCCTTCATTTATTGCTACCATACAGATGGGAGAAACATTTTTTAGAATAAAGAAACAGCTCCACCAACTGCTCTCATCTCAGGATTTTGTACAACTCACTGTCACCAGGCTTTTATCTATGGGGAGCCCAGAATGCTCCCTAACCTTCACACCACCAGGCAAGCTACACCTTCACCCTCCTTCGAATCCCTTTCTTCCGTACTCAGGATGGAGTAGACATAATAATCCTCTTTGAAATACCTCTGACTTGCTGCTTGTCAGTAAATCTCCTGAAGGCACAACTGTTTGCTATGGAGAACAAGATGAACCTTAATGAAGGTTTGGAAATTCAAGTGCAACACATAGTTCTCTAATTCTTTCCCACCAACTACTATAAAACACACTGGTATTTTTATGACATCTGTGTTGTGCTTGACAGTTTCAGGACTAGCTTCATAATATCCTAATATATTACGAGTGGCTTTAAAGAACACAACACTTTTCCCCAACCCCAGACCAGACCTGTGACTGGAACTCTGCAGAGCGGGACACAGAGGCTCCCAAACTGCACAAGTCAGGCTGAACAAACCGATTTGATTTGTAACCCTGTGCTCTTCGGATTAGGTCGTGTGGCCTCCCAGGAGTGCAGAAAAATAAACTGCTATATACTGATGGTTTCAGATGTACTGTGCTCTGGACTGAATTGTGACTCCCACCTTGCCCCCCATATTTTTATGTTGAAGCTTTAATCTCCAATGTGACTATATTTGGGGACGGGGCCCATCAGGAGGTAATTAAGATTAAATGATGTCATGAAGGTGAGACCCTGGGATGATAGGACGAGAGTTCTCATAAGAAGACGCTCCGAGGACTACATCCCTCTCTCTTTCTGCTGCGTAAGGACAGAGAAAGCAGGCAGAGGTCTTTCGCCAGGAACGCTGTAAGCAGCACCTCAGTCTTGGTCTTCCCAGTCTTCAGAACTGTGGTGGATAAACTTCGGTTGTTCAAGCCACCCCATCTGTGCTATTTTGCTAGGGCCACGTAAGCAGACTAAAACACATTGCTAAGATTAACATTAAGGTGAGGAAAATTCTCGGGTGAAAAAGAACATATAGTGTTTGTTTGCTACAGTACAATCTAAACTGGATAATAACATAAACTCAAAATACTGCAAAATACAAAAGGACCAGTGGGAAAATTTCTTCTTGTAAATGCTCTGAAATCATCCATCCAAGACATACAACCCTGAAGACAGAACTAAAATAGTGGATGGTGAAGTATGTCTGTAAAACAGAGAACTTTTTTGGGCTTCATCAGCTGAAATACAAACATTCTTGTTGTCTGTAGCTTCTAAGCCAACTTTGAAAAGCTGTACCCGAAGCAACTTGGTGTGAGGGGTAGCCCCTGACATCCGGGAGCTGGCCTGATACTAGCAACCAGGGCTTGGTGTTCTCCTGTTGGACACAAACAATTTCATGGACTATAAACACTAACATAGTCACTCTGACTGTAATGGATCAAGACGAAAACAACACAACTCCAAAACCATGTCTGAGCATAGACAACACATGATCACTGTCCAGGTCACAACGTGAACATTAGCATTTTGGGCTAATTCAAGGGACTGCTGTTGCTTTTACAGTTACAATCTCCTTTCCCTAGAGATAAGAATTACTGTGGTACTCAATCATAGAGTTACCCCTGCTGCCAGGGAGAATCCAATCCAGACCAAAGTCTTGCTTCCTTAAGCCCTCCTCAAATCACCACGTACAAGCCCAAATCCTTTCAGTCTTTGCTGACACCTGAGAGACTCAGCAGCTCCCTAGTCTGTCCCCACGGCAAGCAATACACCTACTGTTCTACTGCAGGTGTTCCCAGGGGTCTCGGCCTGGGGGCACTGAATGAGGGCAGCGGGGACAACGTGGCCCTGACTTGTGCTTCCCCGATTGGTTTGTCTCAGGAAAGCCCCTTAGTGAACACATTTTTTAAACGATTAAAGTTTCAAATGCTAACATCTACAATCCCATTGTCCAGTTCCCTTCTGTTTTTCCTTTGGTTTTAAAGTGAAACCGAAATCAGGCCAAATATATCGAGGGAGTCAGTCACACTTTAACCTTTGAAGAACTAGGAGGCTCCTGCATAGTCATAGCAACTTTACTGGCCGCTAACAAAGAAAGCGACATCAAATGTGATGTTTTGTGTTAATTGAAGGCATTGTTTTGTCTGTCCAGCATCCCCTCTCCACTCTCCCTCCTCTTCCAACAGAATTTTTTTCCTACAGAGAAATAACTATAGGTGGTGGGTGCAGGATTCATGCACTCTAACTCCTACAACAGGGGTGGACACGTGACCTTGATCCAGCCAATCAGAAGACTTCATTCCCCTTGCCACACCAATGGTTTGAGGGAAGGCAGGTAACCCAGGCCTGGCCAATTCTGGGGCTGTTCTCCTGCTGCTATGGAAATGTAACTTCTTTATGCCGCATGCTAAGCTGGTAGCATGTACACCTGTGACTGCCAATGGCCATCCCAGATACCACATGGACAGAGGCTATCTATGAAGACTGAGACAGACAGCATACATCATTTGAGTACCCAGATTTAGCAGTGCTTAAAGCCAGCAACATTCCTAAATTCCCCAGTTTGTTAAGCCAATAAATTAATTTTTTTACCCTAAATGACTTTGAGTTGAATCTCTGTTCATTTGCAAACAAAAGAGACAGGGCCAAAGAATATCCCTTCAAGTTTGCAAATTGACCCAGCCCGGTTTGTCCATTCAGCTTTACCAGGTTGCTCTGTCTATCAGAAGCCTCCTGCAATCGGGGGTAGGTATAGCCACATCTCAGGTAGATTTGCTACTAGATGGTGTACAACAAGGAAAGTGAGTATAAGACCAAATTCCAGTAAATCGACGAACACTTATTAGCAAGTAGACACAAAAAGAACCTCTTTTTATACAGCCAGGGAAGTCCACACTCTCCTCTGACAAGTGTCTTGCATGGAAGATTCACTCCGAAGTGGACACAATGATATTCTGACAGCAGGAGCAGCTGATTTCCAATCAGAATCCTTTGTGAAGTGAGAGGACCAGAACCAAACACCAAACAGAGCTTCGGACTTTGTGTGCTGTTTCAAAAGTGCCAGATTGCTGGACTTCATGCAAGGGTCATGATGTCTGCAAAGTCCTCCAGCCCACCCCTTATCTTCAACACCGTTAATTTCACCAGTTAGAAATCATTTATCATTATACTTATTTATCACATAAATTATGCTAAATTATAATATCATTATGCTAAATTATGAATCTTCCTCTGGACTGTAAACTCCTATCTAAGATCACTCCAAAGCTAACTATCTCCAAAGCACAAGTTTCTGATAAGGGAACTTCAAATGCTATCTAACCACCCCTATGCTGCAGGTTAAAATTAATTTATATTTGCATACATCCTATTGTTCACACAGAGAATAAAACACATGCCAAACTTTAATATTATTGAAAAGCAAATACATCCAACATATTATCTAGAAAATTTTTCATCTATTCTGAGGCACTGAACTTACCACAAATACGGGGTCATTGGCGGCAGAATGTGGCAAAGCACTTGTCCCGTTCAGGAAGGAATGAACCAAATTATGAAGGCTCATCACTTGAGAGTCCAGAGTCCCATCTGCTTTATCAAACCCTTCCAGGGCATTCCTGAGAGAAATCGGTATGTCAGCAACAACAGTCACGAATTGATAAAGGTCTTTCTATTTGCTCCAGCCTACATCATCACCTTGTGATCTGAGACCGGTATGGACATGAGAAGCTCATTAACTAAGAAATAGGCCCCCCTTGAATGACGATCTCCTCCAGGGGGAGGGGGCTCTTCTTCAGCGCTAGTTCTTCAACTGCTCAGTTGGAGTATATATCTTTTGTGTCTGTATGACAATTTTTTACCTTTACATCGGTCCCCATGCCAGATGATAAACTCCTAGAGGGCAGTTTTCTTCAGTTTTATTGTCAGGGCTCAGTACCATGCCCAGCACAGGGTCTGTGATCAATAAACTCTTTTTGAATTAACATATAACCTTATATTCCTATTTCTCAGCTAAAGAGACCTGCAGCTTGACTGTAATATATATTCAGTGTTCTTTTTTGCATTATCTTCTGATAGAGCAGGAGGAAGAGAGAGAGAGAAACATCCATGTGAGAGAGACACATGACTGGTTGCCACCCACACGAACCCAACTGGGGCCGGGGACAAACTGTAACCGTGGTACATGCCCTTAGCAGGAACTAAACCCGGGACTCTCTGGTCCACGGGCCAACACGCTAACTGCTGAGCCAAACTGGCCAGGGCTACGTTCAGTGTTCTAAACATATCCCCAAACTTCCCTATCTTCCTTTTTCCTTCAACCTCCCCATTTTCAGGAAATTCTAATTGTCCACACTCTAACTCGGTGATCCTCGAATGTAAGCATACAACAGAACACTGGAGGAAACACTTATTTCATGTCCACTTCCAGAGTTTCTCCTTCAGTAGGTGCAGGCGGGGCCCTCACAATTTGTATTTCTAGCCAGTTCCTAGGTGATGCCGATTATGGCCTTCACTTTGAGAACCACTCCCTGATAGCTATATGGAATGCAATCTGTATCAAAAGCTTTTTCATCACAATGGAAAACTAATGCATGTTCCTTTTTCAAAACAATCTTAGAAATTGCCCTTTACGTCATCTTGGACACCACTCTGAGGGCTGTGCCAACCCCATCACAGAGCCTGAGACCTGCTACACTCAACACAACCCTGCATTTAAGTTCATCTACCGCACCCCTGGTCCCAAATAATCCATCCGTTATATAATTTACACAGAGATAAGAGAAAGAAAATCCAGTTTGGGAGAAGAAGATGAATATAACCACCATTTCTTTTTGGAGTCCCATTTGTCTTTGTTTGAAATCTTATTTATATACACACCTATTTCTGATCACTCTTGAAGTATTTTTGGAGGGAGGGAATTATTAGCTGGCCTTTACGTTTCAAGCATGGTAATGTTATTGCTGTGTTATAATGTGAACTACGTTAAGTCTGTAATTCTCCTCTGAGATATCAGACCCCACTATTCAGTTTTATGGTAGATACATTTATTTTTTTTTAAAAAAAGAAAGAGCCTGAGCAAAAGTTTTTTACAAATATTTTTAAATACTATATTTAAAGAGGTACCCTGGTTGTGAAGTCTACCTTTATATGTACAGAAATTAGAAATACAAAAACAATGGTTTTAGTAGCTCAGTTATTAAAAATGCACTACTGGGAGGAGGGTGTCAGTGGTGGGGGGGGGGAGAAACATCTATAACAAAAATAAATTAATTGATAACAAAATAAAAAATAAATTAAAATGCACTAGTAATTACAGTGAGTGCGTGATGGCTGTTCTAACACTGATCCCTGGTTATCCCCTCTTATCCAGCCCCCTCTGTTACTTGTAAATGTCTCCTAACACCTGGATTTCCTTTCCGTTCATTTCAACCCCCCCCCCCCGGCATGGAAACCTACAGTGGCATGAGTGTCAGTCTAGCAGAGCTCAGAGCACCCACCTGAAGCTGAAGGTGGAATTCAGAAAGAAAGGAGAATTGTCAAACTGCTGAAGAGACAGACAATCCTGTATGTCTTTTAAGGATGGCAATCTCTCACCGTTCCTTCCCACTTGATTTCTTCTCAACAAACCTTCATGGGTTCCGTTACACAGAGTGACCCGGCGGTTGTAGTCATCTAAGCTAAGATTTGTAAGGGGATTAAAAAGAATATGTCTTAATGTGTAAGTAGTATCGTAACTTTGGGCCAAGCAGACCAATCAGAGTCATACAATAAAATTTATTACAGTTATCTTACAAGGGTCAAAATACATGGCAAAAGTGATACCCCCCAAAAGTAATTATGGGTTAAAGAGTTTCAAAAACATAGATGCAAAATTAAGATATATGAATAAATATGCATAATAATTACCATTCTACTGGGAAGACTGTAAGAGTGTTTACAGACAAGATGATGATTCTGACTGTGCGCATTTGAATCTTGAGAGACAGAAGAGAGAAGAGAGCATCGGTACCGTGCTGAGCTGCGCCAGCTTGGGCAGAAGGGCTGATGTAAAGCCAGGAAAGCATTTTGAGGGCAAATGGAGGCAGTCAGAGTAAAAACATGACACAATGTGGGTGGGAGGGGTCAGGACCCACCCTGCACTAGCAGATGCTCTAAGGCAGTGGGGATGGTCGTGTTGTAAAGGTCCATGTCCACAAGAGATGATATTCCACATGCCTGTTGTGGCCTGAAACTCCACCACCAGAGTGGGATTCCACTGACAGAGGGGAAATGTTCAAGCTGTGTCTGCGTGGGTGTCAGTGGGCGAGGGGACAGTACCAGGGTGGTGAGAACAGAATCAGCGCACACGAGGATGAAAGGGGCTGGCGGTCCCTAAAACTAGGCAGCGGGAAAAAGCCTCCAAGGCAACATATCCCAAGTGTGTTCAGTGTGATGGTGTGAAATAGGGCGCCAGGACCAGGGAAGTTTAGACCCCTCTCGAAGAAGAAGAATACGATTGCAGAAGAAATGCCCTGAGTCATTCTAAAATTTAAAAAAAAAACTTTTATTCAGCATTCCCTAAGTTTATAGAAATCTCTTTCACATACCACCTATTAATACCTCAAGGCACTATGAGAAATGGTGCTCTATGAAATTAGGCTGAGTCACGTAAAAAGCACTTGTGACGTCCAGAGCCCGGTCCCAAGGGCTGGAGGAAAAGCTGAGGATGTAGAGGTGGGGGCCCCCGCTAGCTAGGCTTCCACCCCTGAAAATGCACATGTGCCCAGCCTTGGGGGTATTGACAACAAAGCTGTGTGCCCTGGAATGGTCAAAAGACATGAGACAGGGGAGCTAGAATAGCAGGGTCAAAAAGAGGATTTTGGAAGAAGAAATGAATAAAGGAAGTCTTCTTGGGGAATCGTTTTCTGAGATCTGTGCCAGGAAAGAGAAACACATTCAGGGAATTACTGAGGACAGACTTGTTCCTGGCTGCAGGCTGCTCACCTTCTTCTGTGTTCTTTAGTACTTAGAGCTCATCCTTCTCCTTCCCCACGCCCCATCCCTCTCAACTCCTAGCACCCTGTGGTCCAGCCCTGCCAGACTGCTGCCAGAGACTCTCTAGCCTCATACACGACATTCTCTCCACCTAGGACACACTCACCACCCTCCCCTACCTGGCCGAGGTCTGTGCCTCCACAAAGTCTCAGAATAATTGTCTCCACCCCTCAGAGCCTTTCCCTGCCTCTCTCCTTGGCTTTGCGTATACATCTATTATGATACCCCCCATGTCACATTGTAATTTGTTTACAGGCAATCCATCTTTGTAAATATAAAATGATATTTATTAAAAAGCTATACTTTATACATCCTTATATTCCCAGCACTATTACAATGCTTAGAATATGACTCATGCAAAAAAAATAGTTGATCTCAAGATGATGGCCAAGCATAGTCGATGCACAAATGTGATTTTCAAACCTCTATTTTTTTTTAAAATCTGCACCCAAGGATATGCTTTTTTATCGATTTTAAAGAGAGAGGAAGAAGATAGAGAGAGAGAGAGACGCAAGAGAGAATCATCTGTCGGTTGCCTCCCGTATGCGCCCATCCTGGGTTCAAATCCACAGCCTCGGTATGTGCCCTGACTGGGAATCTAACCTTTGACCCTTCAGTGCACAGGGCTACGCTCTAACCAACAGAGCCTCACCGGCCAGGACCATACCTCTATTTTTTTTTTTAATCCTCACCCGAGGATATTTTTCCATTGATTTTTAGATAGAGTAGAAGGGAGGGAGGAAGAGAGAAAGAGAGATCAATGTGAGAGAGAGGTACTGATCGGTTGCTTCCTCCATAACCCTGACCAGAGCAGGGAATTGAACCTACAACCCAGGCAGGTGCCCTTGACCGGAATCAAACCCAAGACCCTTTGGTCTGAGGGCTGATGCTCTAACTGCTGAGCCAAAACCAGCCAGAGCCATGCCTGTTTTTTGTGAAAGGGCTTAGAATTTTTAAAAGTCCCACCTCCCCCAGGAAAGTCATTTTCAGAAACATAAACAGAACCCAACACGCACAAGAAACAGAAATATAAAGTGACACGCCATCTCTCAGACATAAGAAAATCCGGTCTCTGGATTTCCAGTCCAGATCAGATGTGATTACCTATCACAGACAATTTCCCAGCTGGAGAATCTTGAGTTTTGACTAATCAGAGTCGGATCATCTTGTCTTGCTGCCCCGAGCAGTTGGTCTGTACACACGTCACACTCATTCCTCCCAGTGGCAAAGTTCCAGTAGGGCAAAGCAAAGGACTCATTGCCAATAAGCCGCTAAAAGCAAAGGCATGCCTAGTCATTTACTTCATGTCATCAGATACAACAAGAACGCATATAATGCAAAGACTGATATGGGTCTTCACCAAATGTATGGCAAAATGTAAAGAACCAAAGGTATAGTTTTCACCCACCTGGAGATCTCTTTCCAGCCACAACAAATGATAGCGGTGCCAGGTGACAAAGGCAGGTCCTTGGTGTGAGAAATCAATTGCCTTGTATGGGCGCCCTGGTCCTGAAACAATTGGAAACTAATTAGAGATCACAGAATAGAATTTTGTTTTTTGAGAATGTGTCTGCAAAACCAATAAATCCACGGTGTTTTAGTCCAAAAAAATTGGTTTTTTGTCATTGATCTCTCTGAAATCAACACCATTAACAACAAAACAACTTCAGAAGCAACTAGCACTTTTAGGGTAAATGCTCCTTCATCTCGCGAAAGTTTGATTGTCAACAGAGACTCAGAGAAACTTAGGTCACTTTCAGCTTCAAGAGCAATATTTCATTAAGATGAAATATTAGTATCAGAGTATCCAAAGGAATAGATCATTAAGACCGAAGTGAAATGTATTTTTAAAAGACATTTTCTAACTGATTCCTTACAAATGCATACATTTATAAGAAAGGGATTAATTAAGAACAAAGCAACTTCTACTGCATTTAATCTAGTTCAGCATTTAGATAACCAAAGAGAACTTTCACGGATTTTGCCTTAGCCATCAATCAGTTCTAACTACTAGCGGACAAGCGTGGTCGCCGAGACTAGAAGAGAGAAAGATACATTCAAACCAATTTGGCTGGCCACTGCAACTGCCAAGTTCACTGAAAAGTTGTGGGCAATTTAATAACCTCCCTACTGCCTGTTCCATCCTTCTTCCTCCTTTCATAACCGCTTTTGATGGTTATGTAGAAACTTTAGCTAACTTTAGCTCCTTTTCAAAGTACCTATAATAACTTTGGAGAACTGAACAGACATGATTATAAATGTAATTCCTAGATACGACCAGAAACTATAGTTCTCTTTTTCTCCTGAGAGACTAGCCTCTCATAAAGCAAAAACTCCTCTGAGTCATGACGGGAAGGCTATAAAGGTACACAGCCAGAAGAGCTTCCTTCTCTATCAATAAAGAAAGACAGATGCTTACCTGAGAGGCAAGTTTTTTAAAGATTCATACTTAGGGAAGGGTCGCTGCTGCTGCCATTGACTACACAGTCCTTAAATGTTTTAATCCAGAGCAAAGTTTAAAGTTCTCAAAACAAAATGTTGAAGGGGATAACATGGTATGTCAACTGTAACTGAAAATTTTTCATCCAGAAAAATAAAAATTCAATTTATAAATGATGAGGGAGAATCAAGTGATGGAGAACCAGGATAAACACAAGGACAGACCATTTCAAATGAGAGGACTATTCAAAGTGAGCTTGATGTCTCAGTTTATCCTGACTCCCAATGAGGGGCCCCCAAAGTGGGCACAATTGCAAGTGTAGCCAAGGGTTCAGAATTGCACTGAGCACACCCTGGAACGGATTCAAGCCCCCACCCCATGGAACAAACTCATGTTATGCCTTGTTCCTGACTCAAAAGTGACTGGGGATGAAGCTGAACCTACTAGATTAATGAAGTTTCTAACAGATAATCCTTATACCAAGTCCTACCCAGGCCCCATTTTTTAGGATCCAGAAAGCCAGGGCACCATTTCCTCAAGCATCAGACATAACTGTAGCCCAGAAACTAAGCCAGAAGAAACACTAACACCACATTGCTGTGGCTCAGCTTATGCCTTTTCAAACTCCAGAGAAACCCTGGGGATCCCAGCAGCGCATGGGCACCATACATGATGACCTGAACCTATAAAGACTAATCCACATGAGTTTAATGACATGCTTCCAACACAAACACTCTGATTCTGCCCAAAGAAGTCTCACATGCTTTAGCACATATTTAGTTCATGCCTCTAATTTAAAGAAAAGGTCACAGGGGGCTTCCATGGGCAGATTTAGAAATATTTTCTTCTGGAATCTAAAGGAATTTGCCTTGCTCTGGTTGGTGTGGGTCAGTTGGTTAAGTGCTGTCCCATACAACAGGAGGTCACTGGTTGGATTCCCAGTCAGGGCGCATGCCCAGGTTGCAGGCTTGCTCCCCAGCAGGGGGCGCAGGCAGAAGGCCCCAATGGATGTTTCTCTCTCCCTCTTCCATCCTCTCCCTCTAAAATCAATAAAAACATACTTTTTTAAAAAAGGAATTTGCCTTCACTTCACCAGCTCTTGCCTTTGAGAATTAATAGCTCTGTGGAGGAGTTGGACTTTGAACTCAAAACACAAACTACAGGAGAGAACATTTTCAAATGCCTGAAGCCAACGTACAGGAAGAAGCTGCTCCAGCTTAACTCTAGGCAGCATCTGGTAATTCTCTCACTTTCGCAACCATCCCTTTCTTCGCGTGATTCTCTTGTTAATTAACTTGCCTGAAGTTACTTTCCACCTACCCGCCCCCCCAACCCAAACCTATGATAGTATACGTTAATCTGTGGGAAAACCCCACCTAGTAATGTATCTCTAACAGAATAATAATGGAGCCACACGAAGAAATCATAAATGCTGCAGTTGGCGATCTGCGGCTGGGTGCTGTTGGGCCCAAGCAGGCCCGGCCAGTGTTGCGTAGTGATCACGTAGTCAGGGTGGGTGGTGTTCTTCGCGAGGTCTAAGGCACCCAGGAACTGCTCCCTCTCCTGAGGAGTCAAAGAATGAATGTTCTTCCGAATGACCGCTGGTTTCTTCTGATCACAGTTGGGGCCAGTCCAGCCAAATTTGCAGTCTCCGCAGTTATAGCCAGCAAAGTTCCCTACAATATTGGAAGAAATAAGTTCAGGTAGTTTGGAAGAAATTTCTGAGATTGAACTTTGGGGTAGGATGGACGAGAAGACAATGGTGCTTACAAGAAGGAAAAGAAATACAGTGTCCTGCCCTTACTCTTGAAATGTTTGCATCTCAAAGTGAACCAAACACTCGAGAATTCCCTAGAAATTTTTCCTACAAAGAAACAAGATATAAAGTGTATTACATGCTCTTAAGGGCTGAACTATATTTCCCCCTAATTAATATGTTGAAGTCCTAACCCCTACTACCTCAGAATGTAACTGCATTTGGAGATGGGGTCTTTAAAGAGGTAATTAAGTTAAAATGAGGTCATTGGGTGGCCCCTAATCTACTATGACTGGTATCCTTATAAGAAGAGGAAAGTTGGACACAGAGAGTCACACAGACAGTGAAGCCACAGAAAGAAGAGGACAAAACCTGCCAACACCTTGACCTTGGACTTCAGGCCTCCAGAGCTGAGGAAATGAATTTCTGTTGGTCACCTAGCCTGTGGGACTTCGCTATGGTAGCACTAGCAAGCTAATCCCATGTTGACTTCTATACTCCCCTTCCTCTCACAGGTCCTGCAGGGAGTCCCCTCCTTCGTCCCTCCATGCCTCTAACTGGGACTGAGCGGCAGCCCCGATGTCCAGCCGCTGAGCCCTGCTGTCCTGGGCATATGCTACAAGGCTGACACAAAACAGTTCATTAACTCAGAGGAGGAGAGAATATACACTAAGCTAAAGATGAAACCAAAATAAATAACCTGATTTCCAAGAATTTAGATGAAATCTAACTCGAAGAAAGCTGGTTCATTTCACAAAGGAGACAGAGTTAAGGCAAAATCAATAGAAACTGGCAGGTCATAGAGGAAAATTAGCTGCCATGATGTCAGGAAGTGCAAATCACTGTGGGTTCCCTGGGGTTGCACAGATGTCTCTGCTCTGTCAGCCCAGAGAATGGGACTAGTCATCTCAAACTCTAGCATCTTTCTAGTTAATGCTGAGGTTTGAATTATTTGAGCTTGCTTCTGACTTTCCCTTTTTAGCCTTGAGTATTGCTTTTGTTATAACCAGCACCTCATTCTTTACACGGTGATAAGTTAGAGAGCAAACATTTAAATATTATTGGAGTGAAACGTTGAGACAAAAAGGGATTATAATACTGACCTCCCAGGGGATGGGAGGGGTTATGTAAAGCATTTTACCTGGATGACCAGCTCTAGTGCTCAGCCCCTCCTCCACCTCCTCCTCCATCTCATGTTCTCAGACCTTGCTACTTGCTCTTCCTTCTGTGGTTGCCTAGGTTACCTACTCCTCCTCTAAGCTTCATGACAGGTCCTCTACAGGGTCATCCTTGATTCCAGAGTCAGGGGCAGATGCTCCCATGCGGGGCTCCTATAGTACCTCCTGTTCCCCTTTCACTGCATTTATCATACCGACTGGAAACTCCTACTCGTCTGAGCTACAGGCAACAGCAAGGCAGTTATTCTGCTGCCGAGGCCTGTGCTTGGCCTCGTACAAAATGAATATTTGTTGAATAAATGGAAGAAATATAAAGCTGAGTCACCACAATATACACTTTAACTGCCTTACAATTTTGTTTGCGAACTATACCCCAATAAAGCAGAAATTTAAAAAACTTAAAGAAAAGAAGTGTGCCAACTATTCTTTAATTAAAATGTTTTTAATTTTTAAAGAAAGGTGTATAAAGCGCATTGTAGATCATTCGATAAATATACATTTTCTTCTTCTTTTCTCTCCCTGTCTTGTGAATTAGAAGGAAAGCTGCCTTTGTAGATAGTTTTGATGAACAATAAGTATCAAAATAGAGGTGAGTAAAGCATATTATGACCACAGTAGAAAGAGGGCTATTTGGGTCTCTAAAAAAAAAAAAAAATTCCAATAGCATAAAAACAAAGCAATTAGTGTTTGTACTATGTAAAGAAAATTCACAGCCCTTCTTCTCTATTAACCCAAAGGATTTTTTGATAGTTAAAGAAAATGTCCTTAAAAATGTCATAGGAGGAAGAAATTTTCCAGAGTAATTGATTATTTGCATTCTATGCTCTTTGTCACATGCAAAATAGTATTCTATCTACCTTTACATAGCTCAATTATCTGTATTTTTCTATGTTTCAACACCATATGAGAACATAAGTAAAAAATACTTAAAAGGAAAAATTCTCCTAGTCCTAAGACTGAAAATCATGTTTTTGAAAAATGTGAGTTAAACATTAAAATTTATATTGATTGTTAGAGTGAAGCTATTAAACACAAAACAAATATTTATTGAGCAACTACTATAGTATCAGATGTTCTGCAAGGTGATTAAGGCTTCATGGAGCTTGGAGTCTATTTATATTTCCTCAGAGTACCTACTGAAATTGTATACTAATTATTGTTTTTACTTTAAATAATTTTTTTGTTTTTTGATTATAGTTGATGTACAATGTTATATTAGTTGTAGGTGTACAACCCAGTGATTAGATATTATATAACTTACTAAGCATTAACCCCAATAAATCTAGCACCCATCTGACACCATGCATAGTTATTAAAATATTATTGACTATATTTCCTAAGCTGTACTTTACATTCTTATAACTATTCTGTGACTACAAATTTGTACTTCTTAATCCTTTCACCTTTTTCACCATCCCCCAATCTTCCTCCCATCTTAAAGAAAACCCTGTAACATTTCTTGTAATACTGGTTTGATGTTTTTGCTAGGTAGAGTAATCTTGGTTGTAGGTCCTTGCTTTTCATCACTTTGAATATTGCCAAACCCTTGTCACTTGCAAAGTTTCTGTTGAGAAATTAGCTGAAAGTCTTATGGGAGCTCCCTTGTAAGTAACTGTTTTTCTCTTGCTGCTTTTAAGATTCTTTTGTGGTCTTTAAACTTTGGCATTTTAACTAGTATGTGTCTTGGTGTAGGCCTTTTGTATTTATCTTGTTTGGGACTCTCTGCACTTCCTGAACTTGTATGTCTATTCCCTTCATCAGGTCAGGGAAGTTTTCTGTTATAATTTTTTTACATAGATTTTCATTTCCTTGCTCTCTCTCTCTTCTCCTTCTGGCACCCCCATAATGTGAATGCTGGTACACTTGAAGTTGCCCTAGAGGCTTCTTATACTATCCTCATTTTTTAGATTATTTTTTCTTTTCATTGTTCTGATTAAATGTTTTCTGCTTCCTTGTCTTCCAAATCTCTGGTTTGATCCTCTGCTTAATCTACTCCACTGTTGATTCCTTATAATGTATTCATCATTTCAGACTCATTCTTTATATTTCTTAGTTCCATTTTTGTTGCCTATCTCTTTGTTGATGTTCTCACTAAGTTCATCTACTCTTCCCCTAAGTTCATTGAGCACCCTTTTGACCACTGTTTTGAATTCTGCTTTTGGTAGATTGCTTGTCTCCATTTTGTTTAGTTCTTTTTCTGGAGTTGTGTTCTGTTCTTTTATTTGGGACATGTGTCTTTGTCTCTTAATTTTGGTGCCTCCTGTGTTGATTTATATGTATTAGGTGGAGCTGCTAAGTATTCCAAGCTTGGTAGAGTGGTCTTATGTACTACGTATTCTGTAGGATCCAGTAGCATGGCCTCCCTGATCACCTGAGCTGGGCACTCCCGGTGTACTCCCAGTGTGAGCTTGTACACCCTTCTGTTGTAGTTGAGCTTTGATTGCTGTTGGCACATCAGTGGGAGGTATTTACCCCAGGCCATTGGCTGCAAAGATTTCTGCAACCACTGTGAAGGATCAGCTGTGCAGGAGCCCACCCAACAGAGCAGGACTTACTTCAGCTGAGCTCTGGTGCCCACTGAAGCTGCCCCTTGAATGTATCACTGTGGAGAGGGCTCTTAGCTGCCACCTGTGCCCTGCCCAGGGACACCCAGCATGAGCTACAAAGCAATCTGCAGATGGCTGCTACTTGTGTTAGGCTTGGAGGTGCTCAGGAGAGGTCAAGTTGCAAACCAAGGCTGACTGCTGCTAGTGCTAGGACTGGGCTTGCTTAGAGAGAGGTAAAAGGCACACTGAGGCCATATGCTGCTTGTTTGAGAGATTTTAGTAAAAGCTGAAACATGAGCCGAGACAGGCTGTTTGTATGGAAAAGCCACTGCAAATGTCTTGAGTGGGCCTGCAAGTCGGGTGGAGTGGGGTCTCAGGGAATCAGCAGGGTGGGCAAACTGTGTGAGCCAGTTTGATGGACACTCAGATATAGTGCCCGCCTGCTGGCTCTGTGGGGGAGGGCTCAGCAAAGAAACAATGGCCTCTGCCAGCATTTCTGTCTGGGAGAAAGCTACTCCTTCAATTCATGCCCCAATGCCAGATCATTCAGTTCCTCCTCGTATGTACCTGGCACCTCTTGGGCTGCTGGCCCAGTGCGAGCTCAGAGTGAGTGAGTCCAAGTACATCTTGTGTGGGCCTCTATGAAGAATGCCTGCAACTCCTGGGACCTCTGCCTCACTCAGCTACAATCCCCATGTGTTTTTATAGACAGAAGTTATAGAGACTTCTATTCCAGGCACTGGAACCCTGGACTGGGAGGCCTGGTGTGGGGCTGGGACACCTTGCTCCTCAGAAGGGACTTCCATGGCTACGATAATCTGTCACACATCGGTGTGTGGCCAGCCCCTTCTGCATCTCCACACCTCCTACCAGTCTTTATGTGGCTTCTTCCTTATAGCCTTACCTGTAGGACTTCTGTTCAGCTAGATTTCAGGTGGTTCTGGATGATGGTTTTTCTTTAGTTATTTGTAATTTTGATGTGGTTGCGGGAGGATTTGAGTATACTGCATTTACCTACACCACCATCTTGACTGGAACCTGTGTAATGACTCTTTTAAAATATCTTTGATTAAAATGTAGCAACTATTCTAGTAGTTTTTATAGGAATAAAGTATTTTTGAGGAGTGATTGAATAAAATGTATTTGAAGAACACTAAACACCCAAACTTCCAGATGTTTAACTATAGCCAGATGAA